CAGTTTGGAGGTCTGGGCAATTTATGGGGCCTCTGGTAGTGGATCAGTATTTACCCCTAGCATATGAGTGGACCTTGGGAGCCCACTCCACATAGAGGGAAACTCTCTCACATGGGGGAGCATCTAGGCCCTGCTCCAAATAACATGACAGACTCTGAAGATCCCCCATGGAAGGCCTCAGCCTCCCTGGGGAGCAGAATGGGGTTGGGATAGGGGGGCTGAGGGGGCAGGGGAGGAGAGGAGGGAGAGGGAACTGGGATTGACATGTAAAAGAAGCTTGTTTCTAATTTAAAATTGGTCTAATTACAATTATAATAATAAAAAATTAAAATTAAAAAAAAAGGCTCTGTGGTCTTCTGGACCAATGACAATAAGGACAATTCTGTTCTTATTTTGTTATTAGAAAACATGGCTTCCCTAGATTTTCATTCAAAACTGTGCTGTGTGCAATGAAGAGTGACACCACAAGGAAGGTTGGTGTGCAGGCACTTGTGGCATGGCCCGGGAAAGGCTCTCTCTGGAGCTACTCTTTCCCTGTGGCTGTCTCAGAAGATGCTAACAGCCTCTTCCCTTTGCCTCCTGGAAAGATCTCACAGGAAGAACATCCCGTTATATTTTTATCCACTCTTAACCATAGCCAATAGACAGATGCCTAGAAAGGCACTGCAGACATTTGATTAAGTTGGTATATGATAGGAAAATTGTAGAAATAAAACTATTGGAGCTGGAGGGATGGCTCAGCAGTTGAGAGCACTGATTGCTCCTCCAAAGGACCTGAGTTCAGTTCCCAGAATCTACATGGCAGTTTCGAACTATCTGTAATTCCAGTTCCAGGGACCCTGATGCCCTCTTCTGGCCTCTGGGGGCATATGGTATGCACAGGGTACATAGGCATCTATGCAGACAAGGAACCCATAAACACTAAAATAAAATGAAATAAAATAAAATAAAAAAACCTGTTATCTTGCTTCTCTTAAGCTTCCAGAATGTAGCAGTAATAGTGTGATGGTTTTTAGTTGTCAGTCTGACACAATCTACTCACCTGGGTGGGGTATCTCAGTGAGGGATTGTCTAGATTAGGTTATCCTGTGGAGATTATCTTTGCTTTGTTAACTCAAGTGGGAAGACCCTACCATCGAGGGTGGCACCATTCCCTGTACAACAGATCCTGAACTTTGCAACAGTGGACAAAGAAGCTGAAGCTGAACATAAAACATCCATTCATCTGCTGCTCTCTTCTGACCACAGGCTTAATGTAACCAGTTATCTCTGCCGACTCCCTGCTAAGAAAGATTTGTAAGCTAAAATAAAACCTTTTTCCTCTAACTGCCTTTTCCAGGGTATTTTTAATCATAGCAAAAGGAGATGAAGCTAAGTCAAATGGGATCTCTATAACCAGAGAACTTCACAGCCTTCCCCACTTTCTTTAAGGAAAACAAATCGTTGGGTTTAGGTATTTACCCAGAACAGAAAATCTACTATAAAAGGAAGGTTAAGGATTCAGATCAACAATAGAGTAACACACACACACACACACACACACACACACACACACACACAGTGTGCAGGCCTGCACACAAATACAGACTCAATTTGTACCCCGATTTCGTGTTACTTTTTTGACCAGTCTTTCTTACTCCTACTTTATTTTATCAAGGATAGGTGGGTCTGAGCTAATATGATATTGGGCACTTACTTGGGCTGCAATCTTCACAAATTTCAAGTTCTTTCTCCTGGTGTTCTAAAGCAACTTGGCTTTTGTCATGTGTGATGAAAGGAGAAACAAAATCAGTATTTTAGTAATTATATGAAAAAAATTAAGCAAGGACGTTAAATAGTTGAAGGTTTATTTTATACATTATGGGAGTGAGTATTATGAGTCTAGGCACCAAAAGTTCCTTACTGAGTTTCCAGTCAAAGAAGAAAATGTAAAATTGTAGATGAAATGGCCACAAAGGTAATGAAGCTCAGACCAGAAACTGGATTAGCTCCACAGCATGGAAAGTACCCAAGAATGTTTCCTCACAGACAAGTTTCTTTTCTTATGATCAAGTTCTTCTAAATCTTAAGAACTGAATTGGCTTACTTTACTAAGGAATTGTCGGGATTTGATATGCTAAGAACAGTGAGCAGAGAATTAAGAAAGGAGCAGTATAGTTTTGTTCTCTAAGGTTGAACTTCTTTAGAATCGCAAAGATGTGTTATGTCACAGGTTCAACAACGAATGGTGGCACTTACAGAAATGATGTCTTAAGTTAGATTGTTACCTGTTTTATTTCTGTGACAGGTGATTCAGAGGAGGTAAGACAGTTATTTGTAACCATAAATTCTCATTACCTCAACATGACTGTCCATAATTACAGCACTAATGAATCACAGCTGTGCATGGATACTAGTAAATGCCAGGGCCCGAAAGTCGGAGGGACTGCTACTGTCCCTTCATACTTAACCATCTTGTTTGGTTGGTTGGTTGGCTGGTTATTTTGAGAAAGGTTCTCACTTTGTAGCCCTGGCTTGGAACTCAGAGATCTGGCTGCCTTTGCTTTTTGAGTGTTGGGATTAAAGGCGTGCACTGCCATGGCAGGTGTCTAACCAAGGCATAACACACACAGAAGGATGCTTAATCTCCATGACAATCAGAAATGCCCTGGGAGAGATCCATTGCCATGTACAACAGATCATTTGAGGAACCATATTTGGCAACTGCCTTGGAGAGGGACACAATGAGACCTTTCACCACCTGAAACTTAAGGGTGTTGTTTCAAAGAAGAAAGGGAACTCTTCCTGCATCGTTATCTGAACCTCTCAGGTTTATAATGAAAAGTCAAAGGAATCCCTCAAAGGCTGTCACCACGGCTAGTGTGGATTCCACATGAAGTTTGGGATGTGTGCTATGTGTGTGGCTACATCTGGGAGACCTAGCTAGTTGCTCAAAGTGTGGCTCCTAGTCTTACTTTTTATTGCTGTGATAAACACCATGACCAAGTCAACTTACAAAACAAAGTGTCTAATGGGGTTTATGAATTCAGAGGGTTAGAGCTCATGATGGCAGAGTGGGGCATGGTAGCAACAACAGCTGAAAATTCAAATTTTTTTATATTATAATTACAACATTTATTCCTTCCCTTTACTTCTGCCAAACCTTCCCATATACCCTTCTTTTTTCTTCAAATTCATGGCCTTTTATTTCACTGTTATGGCATACATGCACAAACACACACACACACACCCCTAAATATAACCCACTCCATTCTTATGTTACTTGTGTGTTTCAGGGCTGACCATTTGACACTGGACAATTGGTGTTCTCTTCCCTGGGGAAGGCCACCTCCCTCACTCCCAGCTTTCCTCAGTTGCCTATAGTTCTGTATAAGCTTAAGGACTCAAGGGCTTTTCCTGTCCATGTAGGCGTGGCCATTGGTATTGTCCTCATTCAGCACGTTTGGGCAGTCATGTTGATGAGACTTTATAGGTGTGGCTTCTGACATTACCAGGAGACACAGTCTCACACCAAACTCTCTGTTTTGGCTCATATGATCTTTCCATTTCCTCTTCCACAGTGTTCCCTGGGCTTTAGGTGTGGGCCTCTTTTATAAATGCATGCATCGGGACTAGTTCCGTAACTCTACATTTTGATTAGTTGTAGTTTTCTATAGTTGTCTCCGGCAGTTACAAAGGGAAATTAACTTGATGATGAAGACTTCACTTACCTGTTTGTATAAGGACAAATGTTTATAGATTGTTGTTAGGAATTGTGCTGGTACAGTAAAGTAGCGGTTGCAGATTCTCCTCCAAGACCCATAACACTAGCATTGCATCACTGACTAGGTTTCCAGTACCAGGCATGATTTCCCTCTTATTGAGTGGTCTCAAGTCCAATTATAGAGCTGTGGGTTAACACCAAGGCATGTGTGCCACCACTGCACCACTAAGGTTATTACACCATGCTTGCCATTGATGCGATTCACAGGCGTCATAACTGGGTAGGACTGTTTGCTGTTTCTCTTCTGTGGAAGCTTGCATGATGCCTTCTGGTTTGGTGGAAGCTATTGCTCAGGGAGGAGGCTTTGGGTCAGTTCTAGCTCAAGGCTCTCTGAGCATGGTGTCTTCAGCAATAGGGACTTACCTTCTACCTCTGGGGAACAACCAGGGGTGAGAGCAACAAACTGTATGTTTTGGGAATTTCTTGGACAGCCCTGGCTAACAACTCAAAAAAGGGGTTCTCATGTCTGAGGCTGGGGTTTTGGTTGGTGGACATTGGCTCTTGGAGGGTGCATCATCAATGCAGATGAGAGAAGTTCTTTAAAACTATATATGTATGTTTATACACTGAATTATATCTAACATAGGATTTTTTGGTAAATTATGAATAGTATCATTCCTTGTGGCTTTTTCAGACATTTTTATGATTTTACCCTCTTTATCACCTTCTCTCCTCCTAGAAGACCCTCTTTTCCCCTTTCCTCTATCAGATCACCTGAACCCCACATTGCTGCCCAAACCCTCTTCTTGGAAATGGTCCTGCTTTACTCTCCTGGTTTCTGTAGTTACTATAGACTATGTACCCACATCTGAAGATTTGGAGCTAGGAGCCTCCAATGAGAGAACAGATGACATTTATCTCTCTGGGTCTAGGTTATCTCACTCAATATGATCTTTCCTAGTTCTATCCACTTACCTGCAACATTCATAATTTCCTTTTTATTTTCAGCTGGGTAGTATTCCATAGTATGTACCATAGTTTCATTGTTCATTTGTTCATTGAAGGATATTTAGGGTTGTTTCCATTTCCTGGCTGTTGCGAATATAACAGCAATGGACATGGATGAGCAAATATCTGTAGAGTAGGGTGTTGAGTCCTTTGCGTATGTGCCCAAGAGTGGCATATCTGAATTATGAGGCAGACCTATTCCCAGCTTCCTGAGAAACTGCCACCCTGGTTTCCATGGTGACTGTACAAGTTTGCACTCCTACCAGAAATAAATGTTTCCCTCTCCCCACATCCTTGCCAGGATGACCTGCCATTTGTTTTATTGATCTTAGCCATTCTGACTGACATAAGATGAAATCTCAAAGTAGTTTTAATTTGCATTTCCCTGATGACTATGGATGTTCAACATTTCTTTACATGTTTCTCAGCCAATTGTGTTTCATCTTTTGAGAACTCTTTGCTCTGCCCTGTATCCTGTTTTGTAAATTGGGTTATTTGTTTTCTTGATGCTAAAGGGTTTTTGTTTGTTTGAGTACTTTATATATTTTAGATATTAGCCCTGTATCAGACATGTAATTAGTAGAGATTTTCTCCCGCTCTTTAGCCTGCCACTCTATGTGAATGATGGTGTCCTTTGCCATACAGAAGCTTTTCAGTTTCATGAGGTCCCATTTATGAATTGCTGCTCTCAGTGCCTGTGGTATTAGTGTTCTGTTCAGGAAGGCTTTTCCTGTGCCCATGAGCTCAAGACTATTTCCCACTTTCTCTCCTACAAGATTCATGTGTCTGGATTTACATTGAGGTCCTTGATCCATTTGGAGTTTTGTGTAGGATGATAAATATCTAGTTGTATTTTTCTACATGCAGCTGTTCAATTTGATCAGCACCATTTGTTGAAGATGCTGTCTTTTCCCCAGTGTGTATTTTTTGGCAAAATTCAGGTGAGTGAACTTGTGTCTGATTTCTTGATTCAATTCCATTGATTAACATGTCTATTTTAATGCAAATACCATGCTATTTCTTTATTACTATAGCTCTGTAGTATGACTTGAAGTCTGGGATGGTGATACCTCCAGCAGTTCTTATACTATTTTTTAGCAATCCTCTCTCTCTCTCTCTCTCTCTCTCTCTCTCTCTCTCTCTCTCTCTCTGTCTCTCTCTGTGTGTGTGTGTGTGTGTGTTCATATGGAGCTAAAATTATTTTTTTCAGTTTCTGTGAAGAGCTGTGTTAGAATTTTGATGGGGATTGTGTTGAATCTGTAGATCGCTTTTGTAGGATGGCCATTTTCATTATATTAATTTTACTGATCCATGAGCATGTGAGACTTTCCATCTTCTAGTGTCTTCTTCAATTTCTTCAATGTCTTAAAGTATTTATTATACAAGTCTTTCACTTGCATGGATAGAGTTGCCCAAGATATTTTTGAGGCTATTAGTAAAGGTACTGTTTTTGATTTCTTTCTCAGTCCCTTTGTCCAGCTAGTCTGCAGGAACCTTGATTGAGAAAATGCCTCCATAAGATCTGGCTGTAGGGCATCTTTGTTTCTTTGTTTCTTCCTTTCTTTCTTCCTTCCTTCCTTTCTTTCTTCCTTCCTTCCTTCCTTCCTTCCTTCCTTCCTTCCTTCCTTCCTTTCTTTCTTTCTTTCTTTCTTTCTTTCTTTCTTTCTTTCTTTCTTTTCAAGACAGTTTCTCTGTATTGTTTGGAGCCTTCCTGGAACTAGCTCTTGTAGACCAGGCGGGTCTCAACTCACAGAGATCCACCTGCCTCTGTCTCCTCAAGTGCTAGGATTAAAGGCGTGTGCCACCAACGCCCGGCTGGCATTTTCTTAATTAGTGATTGATGGGGGAGGGCCTAGTCCATGGTGGGTGGTGCCATCCCTGGGCTGGTGGTCCTGGGTTCTATAAGAAAGTAGACTGAGCAATATAGTAAGCAGCACCCCTCCATGGCTCTGCATCAGCTCCTGATTCCAGGTTCCAGCCCTGTTTGAGGTCCTGTCCTGACTTCCTTCAATGATGAAAAGCAGTGAAAGTGTTAAGCAAATAAACCTTTTCCTCGCCAACTTGCTTTATGGTCATGGTGTTTCCTCGAAGCAATAGAAACCCTAACTAAAACAGAAGGCTACTGACATTTTGTGTGTGCTAATTTTGTATTGAGCTGTTTTGTTGAAAGTGTTTATCAGCTGTAGAAATTTCCTGATGAAATTTTTAGGCTCTTTTATGTATAAAGTCATATTAGCTTCAAATAAGGATACTTTGACTTCTTCCTTTCCTATTTGCATCCCCTTGGTCTCCATCAGTTGTCTCGTTGCTCTAAGACCTCAAGCATTTCATTTAAGGGGTATGGAGACAGAGGAGAACCTTGCTTTGTTCCTAATTTTAGTGGAAATGTTTGGAGTTTCTCTTCATTTAGGTTAATGTTGGCTGTGGGATTGCTGTAAATTGTCTTTATTATGTTAAGATATGCCCTTTGTATCTCCAGTCTCTCTAGAACTTTTATCATGAAGGGGCACTAGATTTTGTCAAAGACCTTTTCTGTATCTAATGGGATGAACATGTGGTTTTTATCTTTCAATCTGTTTATGTGGTAGTATATTTTGGTATATTTGGTATCTTGGCTGTCCCAGTAGAACTAAACATTTGCATATAGGAACAGAATGAATAATTTGGGAGTGTAAGTATTCATTCTTACAAATTATCTTCAGAGCTATGAACAAAGACAGATAAAAGAGAAAGTCTCTTGGCTCACTGTGGTATTACAATCTACATTGTATTAATCAGAAGGCTTTCCATGGACAGTAACTCTGCTAAAACTATTCTACAAGTCTACAAGTAATTGCTGTGGAGTGTGTGTGTGTGTCTACGTTGTCTAGAACAGCCGTAGCATGACCATTATGCTTATAAGTTCTCCACATGGGTCATGGGTGCAGGGATGAAGGCCAGTGCTGCTGTGGAGAGTTCTGTGTCATGGAATGTAGTGGAGGTCAGCTAAAGGTCAAAAAAGTAAAAGATATTTGCATAAAAACCACTAATAACAATAACAGAGTAGTTAAGTGAATGACAATGATAATCTGAAAGTCAGCACCGAATGAAGCAATGGTGTCTTGCAGACACCTCTAACATGCACTACACTCCTTGTATTAGAGAATACAATTATGAATGGTCCCAAGTCACATGCCCAGCAAATGGGAAAGCTAGGAACTAAACTAATTCTCTCTTTTATCACATATCTATGACTTTTTTTTTTAATCACATACTGTGGTGATACCTTGCTTGTACAAATAAAGCCTGTCTGAGGGTCAGAGAATGGAGCTTGCCATTAGCTAACCATAGAGGTCTGTAGGTCTATACAGACAGACAGAAGTGAGGTAGCTGGGGAGAAACAATATATAAGCAGGGAGAGATAGGAAATCGTTTTCTTCTCTGAGATGCTAAGGAGGTAAGGTGTGGCTGTGGCTTGCTCCTTTTCTCTGATCTCTCAGCATTTCCCTCTACATTTGACTTTGGCTTTTTATTATCTAGACCAATTAAGAACTCCATTTATAACATACCTATGACTTTTATCACATACCTATAATTTTTTTTTATCCAGTCAAATGATTTTCTCCCCACAAATACACTTCAGAAGGAAAAAGGCAAGCAACCCTTGGAATCCCTTTTCACTGGTCTAAGCTCATATGACCAGACAGGCTGCAAATGGCAAATGTCAGGCAGTTTTAAGGGAACACAAATTGCTGTATTTGGTTGTCTTGTCTTTCCTACTCAAATAATTGCTGTTGTAATTAACCTTTGCTTTGTTGTCATGATTTTCAGTAACTACCAATACTTGCAAATTAGTTTCTTCTTATAAGTTTAATGTTACTGAACTACTGCAGCCATCCCATAACAACCTTGAGCTTGTTTTAACTAATGGAATGTACAAGCAGCTATACCTCCCCAGCTTGGCAACTGTGTCTATGTTTTCCTCTTCCTTTGCTGGCAATTGTACCATCTTTTCCTCATTGTCCTGGGTGGGGTATGTACATGGTGTGCAGTCATCCTGCTAAAAAAGAAAAAAAGGCCAAGAACTCAACAAATTATGTATTTCTCAACTGCACTGGCATCTTATAAATGGACCTGTGACTAGAGCATGGGGCACTGGGTAAATAAATGGTCCCTCCTCCCTCCAGATGGTGCCCCTACGGAGAAAGGCCCCCTGACTGACTAGTGCCACTACACAGGCTTCCCCTCAAATCCTTCCATGCCTCCCCTGTTTCTGGACCCTTTGCTTCCATCACATCTATTGCATATATCATGGTACTTGTTTCTATTTCTAATAGGTGCTTGCTGAGCTGGGGCTCTTTGATTCCCTAGGCTTTTTAACTTTTTCATAATCACCACACAATAAAAACATTCATTTTGTTGCTAAAAACAAGTAATTTTGTTAGCCAATCAAAGGTATCTATAATTACCTTAAAACTCTTGACATTTCTAATAAAAACACAAGTTAGAAAAAAAAAACCAGTACCTCCTCACTCTACTTAGACAAAAACAAAAACAAAAAAACAAAAAATGGTAATCAGAATTTCTAGAAACAATGTAGTGTGAAAAGATGTAGTGAATGAACAGAAGGCACCATTCAGAAAGTAAATGCTAATCTAAATTCCTTCTTTCTATAAGCCTTTTGTCCTATTTACAATGTTTTCTTGGTTTGTTACCTATTTATTGATGATGTAGTACCTCAAAATAAATCATCTGAAATCACACACTTTAACATTGATAAGGATGATCAACTTAAGAAATATTTTTTGAAAGTCTGGTGTAAACGATAAGTCTTTACGCCATGCTGCCCGAGCGCCACTGCCACATGGATACCCAAAATAACACACAGAGTATTATATTAGGTACAAATGCTACTGGCCAATGACTAGGATTTCTCATATGCTTGCTCCATCTTAAGTATCAACCATAGCCATAAACTATATATTTATAAAGACTTATCTGAGAGAGGATGCCAGTGGCGTGAGTCCTCTCTTGTTGGGCTCACATGGCGGCTCCAGAGAAGAGAGAAGGAGGAAGAGAAAGAGAGCGATTTCCTTCTTGTCCCTGCTTAAATTCTGAGTCTGCCGGCTATGTCACTTCCTGCCTGGATCACAAGAATTCTCTTTACTATATTTCCCAGAATTCTCCTTGACTCCTAGTCCCACCTATCTTTCTGTCTCATTGACCAAGCAGTGCTTTATTCAACAACCAGTAAGAGAAACATACACAGAAGGATGTCCCCCATCAGTCTGGTGACAGTCATTTTTGAATGACTGTGAGTAACCACTGAGGGTCTTTGGATAACTCTTGACATGACAAGGGAAAATGCCAGTTTCCTTTTCAATGTGTATACTTGTCTTCATTAATAACTCAGGACTCCTTATTAAACAAACTTGTGTAGAAATTTATGTTGATGGAAATCCCCAAAGCTAAAGGAACTGGCACTGTCAGTGCCAGCTTTGGGAATTGCACTAGACATGGACTAACGATAAATTGTTACATCTGGAATCTCTCCTAAGTTATGGGACATTGCCAGACACAGAGGAAGATAAAGAAATAGTTCTGCTATCTCTGCAAGAATTAGATGTAATCATTCTAATCCAGAAGCAGAGAGTGAATGGGCCACCCAAGGATACAGATGAAAAACTCAAGAGACTAACAAGATCCTGTCATCCCATGAAGACCAATGGAAAATTAAGGCATTCACAATTCATGTTACCTGAGAACTTTAGCGATTCCTCTCATTAATGACTTGTGGGGGGGCTAAAATCTGCAATCCCCCAAACCTCATGTGAACCTACTGCTTAGTCTCTGCTATAGCACCCACACTTGCTTCAACCACTGCCAAGACATGTTCCCAGAAAGGAATGCAATTAGATTTTACTCAGATGCATCCATGTCAAGAATATATATATCTAGCCAGGCGTTGGTGGCATACGCCTTTAATCCCAGCACTCGGGAGGCAGAGGCAGGTGGATCTCTGTGAGTTTCAGAGGAGTGGGTCTACAAGAGCTAGTTCCAGGGCAGCCTCCAAAGCCACAGAGAAACCCTGTCTCGAAAAAAACAAAAAACAAAAAACAAAACCAAAAACCAAACAAACAAAAAACAAAAAACAAAGAATATATATATATATATATATATATGTATATATATATGTATATATATATACATATATATATATATTTTTTTTTTTGACAGTTTAGGATACACAGTGGCCTATTCTCCCCAGACTGAAAGAACTCAACCAGTTAGTGTAGCCTTATTCTAGAATAAAATCTAACCCCTCTGAGTCTCGAGAGTCTCAAGAGCCACCTGAGGGCAATGTCAGTTACCAGCAAAACATAAGACTGCAAAGTCTAAAACAAGAAAAACACTCAAGTACAAAGACAAGTCCAGCTGTAACTCTATCCATAGATATGACCTCACTATGATTTAAATTGCTCATTGGGAGGAACTTGGAGTATAATCAGATGCAATGTTACAACTTCACTGTTGTTTCCTTTTCATTTATTCTGACACTAGATTACTTCTTGGAATTTTGTTCAGCCACACTGTTAGGATATAAGCATTACTATTTATTTTCACAAATCAAGGGGTCTCTGAAGTGGAACAATGCTCTGGTATACTGTAAAGATTTGTCACTTGTGTTGGTTTAATAAAACACTGATTGGCCAGTAGCCAGGCAGAAAATATAGGTGGGGTTACCAGACAAGAAGAATTCTGGGAAGAGGAAAGGCAGAGAGGAGTTGCCAGCCAGAAGCAGAGGAAGCAAGATGAGAATAGAATGCCTTTGTGAGAAAAGGTACCAAGCCACGTGGCTAAACATAGATAAGAATTATGGGTTAATTTAAGTTGTAAGAGTTTGTTAGTAATAAGACTGAGCAATAGGCCAAACAGTGTATAATTAATATAAGCCTCTCTGTGTATATTTGAGACTAACGGGCTGCAGGACCAGACAGGACAGAAACTTCAATCTACAGGTCTCATTCCAGAAAGCCATTGGGATTCCAAGAGAAGTACATAAGACAGCCTCTGCCATTATTAGAGTGCTGTGCATACATTCCTGACAACTTGGGTAATGCTTTCTTGGTCCTCGGTGATTCACACTCCTAAATTAAATCTAAGTCCAAGTATGGTTTCCTATTGAACCTTCATGGAAACCACGTAACTCATACTAAAAATACCTGGTTACCTTTGGCCTTGATCTTGGGCCCAGGCACAGCATACTTTGATGTCCTGAATAAGAACAGCCTTCCTACCAGATACACAACTTTCATGATGCTCTATTACATCCTCAAGATCACGATTTCTGAGTCCCTGGGTGGACAGGGCCTGCATCCTTACTCAGCAGAGAAGAAGCTTTATATACAATCCTTACAATCAGGCAGGATACAACAACAGAGTAAATGAAGGAAGTCCTGGTCTGGAACCCCATGAAATGGCAGTCAGCTAACCCAAGCTTCCCAACACTATCTGTTCAGTGTGAAGATTGTCTATAGAGAGACAAAAGTTTTGTACAGACACCTCAAATAATAATGTTAAAATAACAATGAACCAAGCTTAGACTCAAACAAATGTGAGGTTTCAGATTACCCTTACCATACCCCAGTTATTAAGCTGAAACTCTGAGAATCTCACAGTTTCATGAACTATGTTTACAGACAAAGTACATTTCTCAACTCCCTGTGACTCATTCAATAGGTCCTTTGACCTTGTGACTTAGGGTGTTTTCTTATCAGCGTTTAATCTTGCCCAGTTCACACCTGGGAGCCATTCACTGTAAGAGTTTGTTTACAAAAACTCAGCATCACAAATGAACTTTTTACCTTGACATCAAAATTATTTCTGTCCTTTCCTGTCGTAGGCTCAAGATGATTGGAACTGGCGTCTTTGGAAAGCCTGCAGAGCAAAAACTACAGTGAGAGGTGAGCTTGATTTTTTTCAAAGTCCTAAGAAAAGTAAGCCATCTAATTTTTATTTTGTTTTGGTTTGATTTATTTGAGACAGACTTTCTCTGTGTATTTCTGGTTGTCTGGGAACTCACTCTGTAGATCAGGCTGGCCTTGAACTCTGAGATTCTTCTGATCCTGCTACCCAAGTGCTTGGATTACAGGTGTGTGCCACCACCACCTGACTGCCACCTAGATTGTAAATGGCATTTAAAAATATATTTAAATTTAAGTTTTAAATTATGTTGTAGGAGGATACATGATGTGAGCCTTAAGAGCCCATAAAGGCCCAACAAGGGAATCGGAGGCCCTGGAGCTAGAATTCCAGCAGTTGTGAGCTGCTTGGAGGGTAGCTCATAGCTGCAACAAACTCAGCTACTCCTCAAGAGTAGGATGCATTCTTAACTGCCATCTCACAGGAATCATTTTTAACTTCTGAGTCAGCTCTCAGGGTGCATTCTTAACTGCTGAGTCAGCTCTCAGCCTCTTTTTTTTTTTTTCTTTCTTTCTTTCTTTCTTTCTTTCTTTCTTTCTTGAGACAGAGTCTAACTATATATTCTTGGCTGACTTGGAACTCGCTATGTGGGCCAGGCTGGCCCCAAATTCACAGAGACCCACCTGCTTCTGCCCCCGAATGCTGGGAGATTAAAGGTGTGTATACCACAGCCAGCTATATGGCAGTTTTTATTTGTTTCTATGTCAACTTCCGAAACAATCGAGCTTGCAGTTTCCTCTTTCTGCTTCTACTTCCCTCAGCCTAAGAAATGTTCGAGGGACATTCTCCCAAAGCAGGACAAGGATCTGGGGATAATTTATGTGCACAAATGTCCTCTTTGAATGAGCTGAGAAGCCAATGGCTGGTTCTTGTAGCTTTTGCTACCTGAATCAACTCAGCTGAGAAAACCCTTGAAGATGTTAGTCAGAGTCTAAATGTACATGACTCAAAGGGAAGTCTGGACATTGTTCTTGGGCATCTCTTCCCAGAAAGAAAGAGTTAAACATTAAAAACTATAAAAGCCAGGAACTGGGGAGCTGGCTCAGAGGTTAAGATTCTTGCAGAGAATCCAGATTTAATCCTAACAGCCACAGATGCATGTAACTCCAGATCCAGATGATCTGACACCCTCTTCTGGCCTCTGCAGACATCAGTTATGCAAGAGATTCATAGACATACATGCAGGCAAAACACCCATACACATAAAAATAAATTAAAAAAAATAAAAAAACGATGTTGAGGGAGACAACTCATGAGAAAATAACCATATTTTCTGCTAAATTTGACATTAAAAACCCAAACAGCCAATTAGACAACTTACTATTTACATTTCCTGTGTGGGTGTTTTAACTGGAATGCAAGGGTGGTGCCCTGATCTAAGACAGAGGACTTAGGGCTCCTGAGACAGGGGCTGGGAGTCCACTCAGTGGCAGACCATACCTAGCTTATGTGAATCCCAGTTCAATCAACAGCACTGCCAAAGGGAAAGTCCAAAGATAGAGAACTCTGTATCTGTCACTACTCCAACCTAGTCTAGTGTTTCACTTTGTTTCTGGTCTGTTATGTCAACTAACTCATGACAATTCCAAAATTTCACAGACTGGACTGTGAAATCTCATTGGTTATATAAGTTTGGGGTGGTTATAACAACTAAAAATATCAATTTGATGTCAATGAGTATTGTAATATAAACACTTACACTTGAAAGGTTTCAAAAACAGCGTGACTTCGTGCAGTTGCTCCGTAGACATCCATCAAAGATGCATCAGCACCTTGCTGGAGAAGAAGGCTGATCATATCTTTAGACTGAGCTCTCATAGCATGTATGAGGGCAGACCTAAAAGAACAAATGTAACGCCACCCTGACACACTTTATTATATTTGTATTTTTAAGACAGGATCTCTCTACATAGCCCTTGCTGTCCTGGTACTCACTATGTAGACCAGGCAAGTGTCACCACACAGGGCTTCCTGACACACTTTAATAAAGTCATGTAAACAACTGTTAAAGTTCCTCTCTTACCTGTCTGTGTGTTAGAGTGGCCATTAGCAGTTAAGAACAGACAACGGCATTAGGGGGATGCCATTCACTGACCTGTTACCTCTAATGCTGAAAGGGAGGAACTCAGAGCCCTCCTGTGCCACTGCTTTACCCCTCAGAAGAATTCCATGCCATGCAATGGACAGTACTGTTCCTAGATCACTTACCTGAAGTGGGCAAAGTTAAATGAAGCAGTTTCCATTACTTCCCTAGCCTGATGTTAACATACTATCATAGTCAGCAACAGGTCAAATAAGGAAAAGTTATTAGTATTCTGCCAGTGGACTTGGGGTGTTGGTCACATCTTAGGGCCGTGGCTTTAGGTGTGCAGATGTGATCCTTTATAAGGAAGAGGAGAGGTTGTGGTCGGAGCATCCTGAAGGGCAGAGACTGCATCTCCAGGAGCAGTGGTGGTTATTTTCCATCATTGTGTGAGTGCTCCCCTAATAAATAACTGTTATTTCTTTATCTGGGTATTTGTGGACTCCTTTAAACCCTCCTTCACTTGGTGGCCAACACGGTTTGTATTATTTCAAACATTATTAATATAAAGATAATAGCAGGCTGAAGAAATAGCAGTTAAGAGCATTTGTTATTCTTGCATAGGACCTGGGTTTGGTTCTCAGCACCCATATAGTGGATCACATATAACTCCAGCTCCAGAGGATCTGACACATCTTCTGACTCCCTTGGGTACCAGACATACATGCAGGCAAAGCACTCATAAACAAAAATAAAATAAATTTTTAAAAATTAAAGATAATTTTTAGTAACAGTGATTTAGTTAATGAGGCTGACTGCCTTGTGCTAGATGCTGATATAAAAGCTATATATACAATCTGGAAACCACTCTTCAAGAACATTATCCTTATTTTGGCAGACTGGAGAGATTGCTCAGTAGTTGAGAGCACTTAATGCTCTTGTAGAGAAGACCCAGTTTCAGTTCCTAGCACCCATGTCAGGTGGCTCACAGCTGTCTGTGACCCCAGTTCCAGGGAATCTAATACCCCCTTTTTGTCTCCATGAGTGGCCAGACAGACAAATGGTGCATATCTATTACGGTTTTAAGCACTGGGTGGGTTGTACCACTGAGGTGATTGGGTCACATGGGCGCTAATGTCATCAGTATATTCATTCATTCGTGAGATCACAGATAACTTGACAATTAGGATGTGGTACCTGGTGGAGGACGTGGGTCACTAGGGAGTGTCCTTTGAGGGGTGTGCCTTACCATGGGAACCTTCTGTTTTTCTGCATCATGGCTTCAAGGAGATGAGACCCTCTCCTGTCTCATGCTCCCACTTCCTGTCACAGTCTACCTTACCTTTGGCTCCAAGATGAGTCTAGCCTACCATGGATTTGAGCCTGTGAAACTATGAAGCAAAATAAATCTTTCCCTCATCAAATGATTTCTTTTATGTATCTGGTCAGACTAGTGAATAACTGAATATATCAACATAAACCACAGAAGGACCGGGAGACACTGAGCAATTTCTAACTGATACATAGTCATTTAGAGGTAACCTGACATTGATATTCTTCAAACAAAGCAACGAGCCATCAAAGACAAAACACGATTTTTGAAAGTATTTCTCAATAAAAAAGCATTTTAAAAGAAATGTATACAAGACACAGAGGTGGGAAATATTGCAAAATTGTTAAGAATTTCATTGGAATCTTAAACTAGTTGTCTACATGTCTAAGATTAAGACTAATATGAAGCTATTTTAGTTAATATAAAATCATATGACTAAAAAAATCAACTCAAAGTAACAAAGATCAGTCAATATTAAAAGGAGATGTGAGCCCTGCTATATACTTGACTGTGTAACTAAGTTGAACAGTTTATTTCTACCAACCTGTTATTTGTTTCAACATGTATCCTATAAGTTAAACTCTTATGAATTTACTATTGATGTTTTAAATGACCATAACCACTCTAGAAAGCTGGAAGGATTTAAAAGAGTTTAAAGATACCTCTTGTAGTTATCCAGGGCATTTATATTGGCATCAGACTGTAACAACAGTTCCACCATCTCCTGCTTGTTTTCTAGCACAGCGAGTATAAGTGGTGTGTAGCCATGCTGTGAAAACGAAAACAAGTTACAACTCACGCAGTTACATATTTTTCAGTCAGCTGCAAATTTACTAAGATTCTGTGAAGGCAACTGTACTGGCTGGTTTTGTGTATCAACTTGACACAAGGTAGAGTCATCAGAGGAAGAAGCCTCAACTGAGGAAATGCCTTCATGAGATCCAGCTGTAAGGCCTTTTCTCAGTTAGTGATCAATGGGGGAGGGCCCATCAGTGGGTGGTGCCTTCCTGCCTCTGGGATCCTGCCCTGTTTGAACTCCTGTCCTGTCTTCCTTCAGTGATGAACAGAAATGCTAAAGCATAACCCTAATAAACCCTTTCCTTCCCAACTTGTTTTTGGTCATAGTGTTTCATCACAGCAATAGAAACTCTAAGGAAGACAAACTGGTACCAGAAGTAGGGTATGGCTGTGACAGACCTGACCATGTTTTGGAGAGGATTGTGGAAGGACTTTGGACTTGGGTTAGAAGAGCCATTGAGCGTTAAGAGCTCTGTGGGATGTCCTGTGGAACTTGGAAGATAATATTGAGAGAAATGCAGAAGATGGAGGCCTGGCCTGTGAAGTTTCAGAGGGAATATTAAAGACTCTAGCAGGGCCATTTGCTGTTTTGGTTCTGGATAGCTGGTGCTGAAGAATCAGCTGTGATTAACAAGATACCAGAACTACTAAAGCGAAACTTTTCTGGCATACTTGATGCTGGTCAGTGGCAGCTAAAATATTAGCAGTGATTAAGAAGAGACCTGCATCACTGATGTGAAATCTTCTGGGAAGTATTTCCTGAGACACAGAAGCTGTGTTCCAGAGGTAGCCAAGGTTGTACCTCATACTGGCAGCCAGACTTGGTAATATTTGAGTGTCTCCGGGGTGGTACTGGTTTTGAAGGCATGAAGGGGTCATGGAGAGCAGCTGAGGCTTGACACTGTGAGAGTCTAGAATGGGCCATTGATGAAGCTGCAGCCTCAGTGGCAGTTGAAGGCCCAGGACAGAAGGGGTCAGGCAAAGAAGCTGAGGCTTGGCACCATGAAGAGAGCCTATAGGAGGCTATTGGTGAAAGTGCAGCCCAGTTGCAGCGAGGGACTCCAGCATTTTGGAGATGCCAGTACCATGGAATGACCACCAAGAACAGCAGCAGCAATGGAGTGGAGCCAGCTGGAGCCTAGAAGATAGGATTGCAGAGGGCAGAGCTGGAGAAGTGACTCAAACTCTTTGGAGGAGTCCAAATCATGAGTGAATTCCAGGTCATTGGACATTGAATTACTTATGCTTTTGGAGTTTGCTATTGCTTGTTTGAAACTGTGATAGTATCCCAGTTCTTCCCTCTTGAAGAAGGTATTTAATTTTGATTTTTAAAGGAGCCCATAGCTGAAAGACATGAACTTTTAAAAAGAGATTGGCTATTTTTCTTTATTCTTTATTTTATTTAAATATTCTAATTCATTTATTTTACATACCTACTGTAGTTTCCCCTCCCTCCTCTTCTGTTCCCTCCTGACTCCCCACCCCTCCTTCTCATCTATTCCCTCCCAGTCCACTCCTCCTCCACCCCCATTCAAAAGGGCACGGCCTCACTGGGCTTGAACAAAGCATAGCACATCAAGTTGAGGCAAGATCCAGTTCCTCCCTTGTGTCAAGGCTGGGCAAGGGTAATGGGAAGCAAGTTACCAAAAGCCAGCTAAGTTCCAGGGAGAGGTCCTGATCTCACTGCCTGGAGGCTCATAAACAGACCAAGCTACACAACTGTCACACACATGCAGGGGGTCTAGGTTTGTCCCATGGAAGCTCCCTAACTGTTGGTCCAGAGTGAATAAGCTTCCATGAGCTCAGGTCAGCTGTTTCTGTGGGTTCCCCAGTCATGACCTCCCCACCCCCACCCCTGCCCCGCACAATCCCCCCCCCCCCCTCCCCCACA